AGAATGGCAGGCCTGTAAATAAGTAGCTCTGGTGCAATGGGCCAGGAAAAGACAGAGTCCTGAGAAGATGCTTCCTGCCAGCGCCGTGAGCTTTAATTAAAGTTAGCCATCAGCCAGCACCTAGGGACTGCTGGCTCTGTGACACCGGTGTCCACTGGAGGCAACAGAGAGAACTGCTGGCCAGGCAGGAGGCAGCAGCATCTTAAGCACTGGAGAAGGCACAGAGAAATAAGAGAAGATGAACCCATGCTGGGTAAGAGAATGGGTATAACCCCAAGCTGCAGAGCCTAACTAACAGATGGCATCTGGAGCCAGCTCAAATAATCACATGACCTTAGGCAAGTTCCTTCATATGTCTGCACCCTCCTTTCCAGCTTGTCTCCCTTTGTACGAGGAGTGCCACAACAATGAAATGTGCTCTGGGAACTGTTTTCAGGGATGCAGTGAGATCAGGTCAGGTATTTAGGCATTTCAGGAAGGGCATTCCAGAAGTGCTCCACAAATATTGCCTGTTACTAGTTGAAAGTTTCCCATCTGTATAACTTCAGATATTGTCTCAGTTACTCTTTCCACGTTGCTGGGACAAAATACTTGACACCCACCATTAAGGAAGGAAAGGTTTATTTAACTCATAGTTAGTGGAGGTTTCAGTCCATACTCAGCTGGATCCAAGGCAGAATGCCACATAGAACAGAGCAGCAGTCATAACAGCAGAAGACAGCCAAGAGCCAAGGGAGGGGCAGCAGCTGTGGCTTCTAGCAAGCCTCTCTCCACTCCTTACATTGTAAAGCAGATTACCAATCCCAGGGCAAGGGGTAGCACCCACACCCATAATCTCTGCATTGAATCATGAATTAATCACAAATTCTATGTTATGGTGTGTGTGTATTTGTCCCCCTAAAGCCTCATACAGTCATTGAGGCACCGTTCTACAGTTTGTGATTAATTCATGATCCAAGACTGGGATTATGGGTCTGAGTACTGCTAGGATTATGGGTGTGAGAGCTACCCCTAACCTGGGGCAGATAGCTTAAATGTAACATAAGGGAGGCAGACTTGTCCTCTGTTGCCATAGTCGCTATTGCTCCCTCCTTTTTGCTCTTGCTGTTTTGCTGTCTTCCACCACCATGGACTACTGTCTTCTTCCATGTGCCAGCCTGCCTTGCAGCCAGCTAAGCATGGACTGAAGCCTCCAGTAACTGTGACCTACATAAGCCTTTCCCCCTTCATTCTGCGTGTTAGGTATTTGTCCCAGTGACAAGAAAAGAGTAACCGAGACACACTAGAAGCTGCCCCACTGACTACAGGAGGCTTGGGGGGAACACCTAGATACAAACCATAACAGAGATGTTTGGACCATATATTATTGGCCCCATTTTATAACTGAAAAAAACTGAGGGTGTTCAGTTTTAATTAACTTGTAGATGATTGTTCAAAAAGAAGAGGGTGGTGAATGAAGGCAAGAGATAGGAAAAGGAATGTTGTGGGACTGTCCTGCTTCAAGGTTGCATATGGTGAGATTTTTGGACTTATGTGTAAACCTAAGAATTACATAATTCTTTATGCCTATTTTTAAAAATATATTCTAATTTTTAAACGTTTTTTCATCATATTCTATAGAGACTTAAAGTTCAACATATCAATACTTGATGAAAAATACCTG